GGACCTTGTGACTTGCTTTCTCACTTTCCCTCTCTCTCTGTTCTCCTCTGGTCAAATTAAAATAAATAAATAAAACTAAATAAAATAATTATTAAAAAAAAAAAACAAAAACAAACAGCCTAAGCCCACACTGGGCGATCTTAACGAAGCACAGGCTAAGAAGGGAACAGCAGCCTTAGAGACCTGACCGCTTTATCCTACAGGCCACGAAGCTGGGTCCCAGAGGTGGAACGACTTGGCTAATGTCACAGCAACAGGGTGAAGACCAAGAATCCAAGTCCCCATGTCAACTTCATAGTGAGTCATGAAGGGCATTCCCGTGATCTTCTATTTTGAAGATCAAAAAACGGAATCTAGTAATCAGAAATCTAAGCAACGCCTGGTGATAACTCACAAAGAACACAGAAGCCACTGAAGCTCATCTCGGTGGGAAGCAGGTTTGCGGCTCCTTACGGCTGCCAACAGAGGATGTGGAGAGAGGTGACAGGGCCAAAGAAACTCTAGCAGCGGAAATGCTTTCCCCGGAAGGAGTGTAATGCAGAGGTACCACCCTGAGGGGAGGTATTTATAGTCACACAACAAAGGGGTGACTTCAGTGACACCTCCTGAGCTGGGAAAAGGCATCTCATAGACTTCCAGAAAATGAAGAGGCTGTGTTTAACAGTTGGCCTGGAAAACAGCAAGGCCCCCATCTGACAGTAAGATAATCTCTGCCTGGCCCAGTTACCCTGGAGAAAACCCAATTTCATGAGCTGGCAGGTGGTGTGGTGGCTAAGGCACCGGACACCCACACGGCTGACCACAGTTTGAGTCCCAGACCTGGTGGCTTGCTTTCTCACTTGCTCTCTCTAAGCGAGTGCATGTGCTCTGTAGCAAATTTAAAAAAGAAATAATAAAATTAAATAAATAATTCTTTAAAAAAAACCCTCCATTTTGAGAAGAAAAAAAGAGTGTGAGATGTGTGGAAAGAAAGTCAAAAGAAGTAATAATATAGGGACCAGCAGTTGGTGTAATGGCTATGTCTCTGGACTCCCATGTAGTTGACCGCGGTTCGAGTCCTGGACCCGGTGGCTTAAACTCATTCAGGGCGTGTGTATATGAGTGCCTAAGATCCCGAGAGGAGAATGGAGGAGAAAGGATTGTGGCATGGCCATTCCCCCTGGGAGGTGATTTCTCACTTTCTGTCTCTCTGTCTGTCTCTGTCTTTCTGGCGAGCGCATGCATCCTATAGCAAAAAAAAAAAGTAATAATATAAAACTACAAAAATATATTTAAAGGCATTGTAATTTGCTTAATATAAATCGAGACTCACAAAACATCTTTAGAGACTAAACGCTAGATCTGAGAGTTTCTCTTTATCCTCTTTGGGAAGTAGGGGACCACACAGATCCCTAGCCACATACTGTAGGAGGGCCTACTCCTGGGGTCTCCTGGCAAGAAACCCCTGACCTGGATGGCCAGGGCTCAAGAAGGCGATTTTGGAATAGGAGAGCCCTCCTGGCACCTGGGTGGGCAGCACCAGGCTCTGGGGGGCTGCCCAGTATCCACTTTGAACCAACTTTGAACTAGAGCAAAATGTGACTTCTCAGCTTGACCTTTTAGATTATCCCAAAGAATATGCCCACCTGGAGGTGTGAGTTTGTGCCAGGCCCGCGGGTAACCCTATGGGAAAGGATGATGCAGTGCAACTCTGCTGACACACCTGCCCCTTCCGACATCACTTCCCAGCACCAGAAGCTGTGGCAGGTCCCTGACTCACCAGACCGGCACAGGACCTATGGCTCAGTCACAGCATGAGTAAAGAGCCTGCTCGCACTGCAACGGTTCCACTCGTGAGGGGCACTCTGTTTTTGAGAGATTTTTCCTATAAGGTATGTGCACTCACCAGAGAGACAGAGAAAGACGGAGAAAGAGAGAAATCACCCCCCAGGAAGGATGGCCATGCCACAGTCCATTCTCCTCCATCGTCCTTTCAGGATTTGGGGCACGCATGCACACACACCTGGCATGAGTTTCAAGCCTCTGGGTATGGGACTTGAACCATGGTTGACCACAGGGGAGTCGAACAACGTAACCATCATGCTATCTGCTGGTCCTATGGACACCTTTTTATACTTAAGTTTATTCATTTCTTCCAAGAGTGAGAGAAACGGAGAGAGAGAGATAGACACCCCTGACAGGGTCTTAACACTGCAGTCGTCCACTCCCAGCCTCAGCGGGCCCCAGATCATGGCCACACCCACGTGCCCCGTGTACTCAGGGAGGTCTCGAGATGTGAAATGGGGACCTTCCCACGTGGGTCAGCCTCACAAAGAATCGCATTTTATTTCTGTGCCACCATCTGACCCAAGAGACATCTTTCTGATTATCTGCCCATTTTCTCCAGCCACCTGAAGGGGTGTGGTAATGCAGTCTCTGCTCCGTTTCTCCCTCCTTTTGGGATTCTGGGCATGTACTGTGTGCCTGGTGTATTTTTCAAGATGCTGGGTCTGGGACTCAACCTTTGCAGTTGGCCATATGGGATCCAGGTTCCTTGGCCGCCTCGTCACTGGCCAGCCCGGTAAACCTCCTTTTTGGCTAATGCTAAACATAGGCTTCTGTCACTGGCAATGACAAATGTCCTGATAGCCAAGGCAAGGGCCAGCCAGGAAGATACATTTCTAAAAGGTTGGGCTACCATTTTGGCTGTTTTACTAACATTTAGTGAGTGCCAATCATGTGCCAGGCCAGGTTCCAGATGCCAGAAAATACGAAGATATGGGCCAGCAGGTGGCGTGGTGGTAAAGGCAGACTTTCAAGTCCTGACAACGCACTGGGCACATGTGTGCAGTACCCCAAATCCCGAAAGGAATGGAGGAGAAAGAATTTCAATGTGACTTTCTCCCCGGGGGGGGGGGGTTCTCACCTTCTGTCTGACAAGTGCACATGACACACAGCAATTTATTTATTTTTTTTGGAGAGGTTTTTACTACAGGGTGCATGCATTCACCAGAAAGACAGAGGAGACAGAGAGACAAAAAGCGAGAAATCACACCCCTGGGGGGATGGCCACACTGCAATCCCATTCTCCTCTTGGGATCTTGGGCACGCACGCACATGTGCCTGGTGTGAGTTTAAGCCACCAGGTCCAGGACTCGAACCGCAGTCAACTACATGGGAGTCCAGCAACATAGCCATTATGCCAACTGCTGGTCTCACAATTTATATATATATTTACATATATATATAAAGGTTTTAATTCCACTTTATTATTTATTATTTTAATTTGACTAGAGAGGGACAAAGTGAGAGAGAGAGAGAGGGAAAAGTGAGAAAGCAAACCTCCAAGTCCAGGACTCAAACTGCAGTCCGCCATGAGGGAGTCCAGCACCTCCAATCACCACACGCCGGCCCCACACATAGTGCATTTTAAGAAACTCAAAGAAGAAGATGTGGTCTTGGTCTCAAAAAATTCAGCCTACTATAGTCAGAGGCTTAGCGAACATAATTGACAGAACACTCATCCCACCAGAGTAATCTTAAAAGCCAGCAGTACCTATCATCTCAGAAGATGAGAACAACGGTGAAAACGGTCCTAGTTAGTCAAAATTAGATTATCCAGATGACCAGGTTTTTAGTTGTTTTTTTTTTAAATGACTAAGTAGGCCACAGGTACAAGAGGAAAAAGGGGAGCTGGGAGAACATCAAAGACAAAAGCTGAAAAGATTACAATCGCAAGAGCAACAGCATTGGGAAAGTGACAACCGTGTCTGTTTCAGACCCAAATTAGTCACTGCTGATAAGATAAACAATAGAGTCAGAAAGAGGAGAAAGCTATCTGAAAATCATCAGCCTCCAAAGTCTTACAGACCTAAAAGGATGGGAGGCAAGCAGGAAGCCCAGCTCGGTCTCCCAAGACCTGGTTCTGGGATGGACCTGGAAGAACTGGGTCTTCATTAACAGCAGCCATACCAGACCATGGCCCAAGGGTCTGACAGCCACCGACCCTCCATTTCTACTGGGTATTCACAGTATCAAGCCTGCAGATATTCCAAAGTCCCCCAAAAGATATGAAGGCCAGGGTCACAGGGTCAGCGCCGTGGAGGAAGGAACCCCTGCATCTGAGGCTGACTGGTTGCATCTGCCAGGGCAGAGAGACAGTTTACAGACTACTTGCGAAAACTCTGGGATGAATGGGCCTTTTCACTGCCTCCTCCTCTCCAGCCTCTTTTGTAGAGAGATTTATCACCACGAGCCATTCCGCAGCTGTTTTCTGGTGGTTCCTTGTTTAACTTCTCTCAGGAGAGCAGAGTTATCTGCCCAGCTAAGCAGGTGTTTAAGGCAGGTGATTTTGTTTCCATTAATTTTCTTAAGTAATATTAGACCAGACTAGAGTTATCTCATGGACTCATGGGAAACCTTGCCCTGTGCCTGTCAAAGCACAAACAGGAATGCTGGGTTCTGAGCCCGCTGCTTCCAGCTTATTCACATCTCTAATTCTAGGAGTAAGCAGAATCGAAGAGCCACAGCCAGCCTTAGCCCGCGGCACCTGGAATTTGTCTCCTTTAGAAATGTGTTACAGGTAAAGTGAGGCTGGAGGCCTTCAAGTTTTGGGGAAAAATCAGATCAAGAAAAACCTGATTCTTCAAAGTCCAATTAAATCACCACGTTAATGACTATACTCACGGTTTCATTTTCCAAGTTACTGCAAGGATGATTTAATATGAAACATGAAAAAAAAAAAAGGTCTTCAAACCCGTTTGAAGCTGAAGACCCCCCCGCCCCTGCCTCGCCCCGCCCCTGCAAATGTAACCTCCAAGTCTGGGTGAACTTTCCGATAGTGACTTCCCTTCGCGGACACAGTGTGAGCGCTGACTGTGCCCTGAGCTGGGCCAGGGACCTTCCTGCTCCCCACCTATGCTCTGTGGTAGACTATTCGCGGGGGTGCTGGGGAAAGCAGCTTACTCCTCCGAACTAAACAGGAGCCTGAAGGCCTTCAGGAAACCACAGCCCTGTGTTACCTTCAGTCGCCTCCATTTTCACAAGAAGCAAACATTCGGTGACACATTTCTTTCTCTCTATCCACGTAGTCCCTGTAGTAGCTGGAGAGAAACACACACGGTCTGTTTGTAGAAGGTGACACCTGGTGGCTGGAATTCTCTGCGTCCCAGAAACACTCAATCCAGCAGGTCTTACGTTGAATCAGAAGCAGGTAGACAGATGCTGGGGAGATAGGGGAGGCAGGGAAGACTCCCAAAGGCTGCTGGGGGTGGGGTGGTGGTGGGGAGCCCCTGAACAAAAAAAGCCCGTAATTTGAGAAGATGGCAGCCTTGGAGGCCAGAAGCCACAAGTGGGGAGGCTCCAGGCTGAGTCTTGCCATGTTACCCTTCACACTCAGTGGCCTCTGAGATTTTCTTGCTTAAAGGGTGACGGGGATGGTAACAGCAGACAGTGTAGTGGATACGTCGTTGGACTCCCACATGGCTGGCTGCAGTTCGAGTTCTGGACCCAGTGGCTTGAAAACCACTCTGCATGTGTGTGTGTGCCAAGGTCCCAGGAGGAGAAGGAAGAAGGGATTGCAGCACAGCCATGCCCCCTGGGGGGTGATTTCCCTCTCACTGTGTTTCTGTCTCTCCCCAGCAAGCACACATCCTCTAAAGCAAAGCCTCTTAAAAAAAAAAAAAAAAGGGACATCCCAAAATTTCTACATCTAACCAGAGGGAATACTTTCAAATACCAGGAAGGAAATCGCTGCAAAGTCCTAAAAAGCCTAAAATGTAGCAACTGGATCCAAATATAAGAAATAAGAAATGCACACATCTTAGACTTTAAATTATTTACTTATTTGTTATTTATGTTTGTGATTTGCCAGAGGGCACGTGAGCTTGCTGGAGAGAGAGGAAAGTGAGAAAGAACCCCCCTCTCATGCCCTGCCCAGGGTATAGACATGCCGCAATCACCTCTCTTCTCTCTCTCCCACCTTTTGTGTTTTTGTGCATGCACACAGATACACATGGCATGTTCCTCAAGCTGCACAGTTGGCCATGTGGGATCAGCTGCCTTAACCACTATGTTACCAGCTTGGCCCCACCTCAGACTCTTTTTTTTGGGGGGGCGGGGAGGGGAGGTTTTTGCTATAGGGTGTGTGAGCTCGCCAGAAAAAGAGACAAAAAGCGGGAAATCACCCCTCAAGGGGGATGGCCGCGATCCCTTCTCCTCCATTTTCCTCTCGGGATCCTGGGCATACCCGCACACACGCCGGTGGGAGTTTAAGCCACTGGGTCCAGGAGTCGAACCGCAGTCAACTACATGAGAGTCCAGCAACATAGCCATTATGCTAACTGCTGGTCCCCTCCTACCTCAGACTCTTAACACCAAGAACACTTTACCTAGCAATTTGGATTGAATGTTCAATGCTGAGAGAGGTAGAGTCTCAATACAGTAGTATAAAATATATCTTAAAAAATGGTGGATACTGGACCAGCAGATGGCTTAATGGTTGTGTCTCTGGACTCCCATGTAGTTAACTGCAGTTCGAGTCTCGGACCTGGTGGCTTAAAACACACTGGGTACATGTGTATGTGTGCCCAAAATCACAAGAGAAGAATGGAGGAGAAGGGACTGTAGCATGGTCATCCCCCAGGGGAGTGATTTCTCACTTTCTATCTCTGTCTCTCTCTCTCTCTCCAGCAAGTGCATACACCCTATAGCAAAACTCTCTCTTTAAAAAAAAGTGGGTATGTAACTAAGTAATGATGGAATTATAAATGACTCTTATTTATACATCGATATTTTCAAATTTTCTGCACTGAACATATAACTTCTACAATCAGAAAAAGTTACATTACTAAAAGACTGCCATCTTTATGTCTTGGATGACAAAGAACTCAATCTATGAGTATGAACTGGACCTGAAAAGGCCCATTTCTGACCTCACAAGGACCTAGAAAATGCCTTTCCAAGTTAGATGAGAACAGTGGTTCTTAGTTGCTGCAAGTAGGAAAAACTAGCTGAAAAGCAAGACCCTTCAAAAATTACACTGGCGTGCTTCTCTAGGGAATGCATTATGGCAGGGCACGGGGTACGGGGAGGTGGGAAAAGACCAGACACATGTAGTCTGGCAGTCAGTTCCACCTGCTCACTGGGAACTGCTGCTTGACACAGGGAGCGCTTCAGAAAACCAGCCCTGGGGAGCTGCCTCTTAACCCGTTCTAGGCAACACATCCAGACAGTCCTGCCCCCAGACAGACTGATCAGTACCACAACCACATCTCACACCCCCTTCTCCATCCGCGGCCCTGCCAACAGGTCTCACCTGGCCAGTTTCCTGAGCTCGTTGTTGATGTCATGATTGAAGGGCTGTTCCCTCTGGGCTCGAACTAGAAAATCCCGTGCCTTCTGATAATCAGTCATGAGGAGACAAGCCTGTCATGAAGGACAAAGTGTTAGAAGTAGACTGAGGAAAGACAGAATTTCTGCAGTGCCCAAGTCAAGTACTGGTTTTTGAGTGTTTGACTCAGTCCCTTCCCTCCGACTCACCTGCCCACACCTGAAGAGGGCCTTGGCATTCTTTTGGTCAACAATCAGAGCCTGCTCTCCATAGCGCAGGGCCATGGTGGGCCTGTCCAGCTTCAGGTACGTGAAAGACAGGTTAAGGAGAATGAGAAGCTTGGCAGCCTCCACCAGGTGCTGCTCTTCAGGAGGTGCTGCCCGCCTGTGGAGCAGCAGCAGGGCCTGTGGGGAGGGAGGGCAAGAGGTCAAGAGGACTAACAGGAGCCAGATGGCGTCGCAGCGGTAATGGGATGCTCTGTGATGCTGGACCCACGTGAGAAGGTACCAGGTTTGCGTCCAAGGCCTCTGTGTACATGCCGGGCATGCACACGCGTGCCCAAGATCTAGGCTGGCTGAGGCTGGGGTGGACTATGCCTCCCTCCCTCTCTGTCTCTGTCTTTTTTTGTTGTTGTTTGTTTTTTGAGATTTTTGCCATAGTGCACATGTGCTCGCTGGAGAGAGGAAGAGAGAGGAAAAGTGAGAAATCACGCCCCTGGGAGGGATGGCCACACCACAATCCCTTCTCCTCCAATCCTCTTCTCGGGAGTTTGGGCATGCATGCACACAAGTCCAGCATGTATTTTAAGCCACTGGGTCTAGGACTGCAACCACAGTGTCGGCAGTGTGGGATCCAGCCACCTTAACCTGCATGTCATCTGTTTGCCCCACGCAACTTAGTTTTTTTAAAAAAGCAACAATCTTATGTATATAAAAGAACCAAAAGACCCCACACAAAACAACTATTAAAGCTATAAAAATGACTTTATGGTTTCAGGACACAAGATCAATACGTGAAAGTCAGTTATATTTCTATATTTTAGCAATGAACAATCCAAAACGGACTTAGGAGAACAACTCCGTTTACGATAACGTCAAAAGTATAAGTAACAACAAACTTAAAAAAAATCGGTAAGGCTCGTACATTGAAAACTAGAAATTTCTATTGACAGACATTTGAGAAGATCTAAGTTAAGGGGAGGAATTTCCAGTTCATGAATTGGAAGACAATCCTGTTCAGATGACAATAACCAAACTGATCTATAGATTCTGTTCAACAACTACCAAAATTTCAACAGCCTTTTATGCCAAAATGGACCCGTCGAGTCAAAAACTCACACAAGAATTCAAGTTTCCTCAAATAGCCAAGATACACTGACAAAGAATAAAGGGGAAGACTCATATTTCCCAATTTTGAAATTCATTAAAGCTACTCACTAAGCCAGTGCGGTACTGGTGTGAGGACAGACATACGGATGAGTGGAGCAGAGCTGAGAGCCCAGCGAAGAAGTGCACAGCTCTGTGAATGTTCACAGCCTAAACAGGACCGTGTAGTCAGCATCCAGACCAAAACAGAGCACCGCTAGGTGCTCCATCCCATGTCCCCTCCGCTGGGCATTATCCTTAGGCATGGCAGTTTCTTTCTTTGAATGCGATTTTTCTTTTTTTAATGGCTGGCCCCGAAAGAGACAAAGTCTGTGTTTTTTGATTTGTTTATTTGTTTGTTTCATCTGGGGGATGAGGATAGAGAGAGGGACAGAGGGAGACAGTCATGCTGTGTGGTGATCCTCACGCTTAGCCTCCTAATGAGCTAGGATTACAGGCACCTGCAACTGTGTCCAGCGTGTGACAGACTAACCTAGAGCTTTCCACACAACTTTCAGCCTCCTGGGCAGTGGTGCCATGTGCCACTGCCGCTGGGCCAAAGTCCATGTTTTTTAAGCAATGTTTTCTGAATCTGAACTTATACTTATCTCTCAAAGCATCTTACCCGTTTGTATCTCACTTTGGCATCATAGAATCGGTTTTGGCGGAAAAGGTAGTTGCCAAACTCCCGTTCAGTAGCTGCCACTTTTAGGACCGTCTGAAGTGGAAATCGATCTTGTTGCTCCTGAGGACCAAAGACAAGAATAACTAAGAATGAACCCAAAAGCCACAGGCTACAAGGAAGAGTTATTACACTGTGAACTTTTTTCATTTACTGCCTAAGCAGGCAGAGTCATCTCGGAACCCAACGGAAACCACGGCAGGTCAGTGTTCTGATTCCATTTTAGAGTCAGGGCCATCTGCTTCCTTCATGCTCCTGAACTGTTCCTTGAAGAAGGCAGTTTCCCATGAAATTATTCAATAGGAACTGATGGGACTTGCCGCACACAGAAACCAGGGCTCCCAAACCATTTATCCAACTGGCACTTCATAGGTCGAAAGAGGAGGAAAGGGCGCGCTCCCTCCCTTGGGGTACTGGCAGTTTAGCTGTGGAGACAACATACGAAAATGTAAAACCTGGGATGGACCTCTAAGGCCAGACAGTGGACAGCCCAACACACACTGTCCCGTAGGCCTGCTGATGGGACTAGAAGCACTGTACCTGTAGGACAGCGTGAAGCGAAAAACTACAAAGAAAAGTCAAAACTGAAGTAACGAGGACAGTGACCATATATATTCCAGTATACGTGCATAACTGTCCCCATTTACACCTGCTGCCCTGGGCTATCTCATCCAGCTCTCAGCTGTCCTGGGGTGGGAAAATCAATTTATAGACACCCTAGTTGTAAGCTTCTGATGCTTGACTAACTGGAAACCAAACTGAATATTGAAAAGAAAAGGTCTGGGGCCAGCAGGTGGCGTAGTGGTTAAGGCGCTAGACTCGCACATGGCTGACGATGGTTTGAGTCTCAGACCTGGTGGCTTGAAAATCACGCTGGCCACACGTGCATGTATGTCCCAAATCCCAGGAGAATGGAGGAGGAGGGACTGTAAGGGATTGTGGCATGGCCATCTCCCCCTGGGGTGGGGGGAGGAGGACTCTCAGTTTCCCTCTCACTGTCTCTCTCTGGCGAGCACACACATACTATGGCAAAAAAACTTAAAAAAAAAAAAAAAAAAAGGAACTATTCACTGTCTTGCAGGGAGGACTGGGCAAAAGGGGACTGAACCATCAGTGCAGACTGCTGTCTGTTACAGCCCACGGCCTTGATGTGGTCCAGCACATTTACCCAACTGAGAACCATGACTAAGGTGAATACACACCAGAGCGCGGAGGAACTCCACCATCACCACCACCGCCTCCACCAGGAGCCCTGAGGTGGGGCCTGGGGCACGTGATCATCTAATCAGAAAGGAGAATAACCCACACACAAAGCCGCCCCTCTTAACCAAACACAAAGCCACCGCCTCTCTGTCACGTGCTGACGGGTGTGCTCTGGAACTTACGGCTGAGAGGGCACAGAACTTGTCTGACTCGGCAGAGTCTAGGAAGTCGAGCAGCTCAATCTCGAACAGCACGGTGGTGTTTGGGGGGATGAGGGGAGGGCAGCCCAGCGTTCCATAGGCATAGGGTGGCTTGAACAGGAACCTGGCCAGCTCTCCTCTCCGCATGGTCAGAAGGCCCAGCTCCATGCCCCAGAGCGTAATATCTGGAAGAAAAGCCAGGAGGTTGGTTGGAGCTCGCTTGTGCTCTGTCCAGTGCTACCCCCCCCCAGTCCAAACCTCTCTACATGCTATTCCAAGCCCTCGGCATTGAGCTTCCAATTCAATTTCACTCCTGCTTCCCACTATCGCCACCATTCCCACATTCCAGCTTCTCCAGGCTCAGAGATACCCTGGTCTCCACATCTCTATCCCGTGGTTTCTCCTCCTGTAATGCCCAGCTCCTGACTGAAAGTCTTATTCAAACTTCAGAGCTCGTTTGAAATACCCCCTCTTCCGTGAAGTCTTCCCTGACGCTCCCAGTTGGAATTAGTTGTGCCTTCATTAAGCGCACCCACAACACTGCTCTGACCTCCTGGGGACTCATCCCCCTCGAAACGCAGGTCAGTCCCCACCACACTGCGCCCTGCTAATCCGAGTACACCCTCTCTTCACCTCGCAGGGAGGGAGGGAAGCATTCAAAAGATGTTTAACTTAAACGAAAAAAGGAAAATGCCCAGTGGCTAAGTCAGGATGCAATGGCAGGAGAAATGTGAGAGGAACATGGCTGGGTTTTGGAAAACCAGCTCAAACCATCTGTGCCATGGATAGTTTCCCTCTCTTCCCCAAGCTATCCCTTCCTTTCCAGCTCCCAGTCTGAATTTACCCTCTCCGAGCTTCATCAGCCGAGGAGTCTTCCTGAAGCAATTAGAATCGAAGGGCTTGTCCATGTGCTCCAGATACCCTGAATATTTCACTGGGAGAGAGGACAGGCACGGGAGTGAGGAACCGCGAACAACGTCCCCGTCTCTGTATCAAGTCTCTTTAATGACCACAGTGGAGAGAAATGAGCTTAAGCTGCCCACCAGCACACCAAGCTATGGTAACCACCTCTCAGAAGTGCCCTGAGGCTGAAGGGCTTGGCTGATGTGACCCCAGCGTTTACTGTCCGTGGTGTGCCCGGGGTTTCTCATCTTCCTCCTAAAATCCCCACTCAACGCATTTCTGACCCTGTGAAGTGCTATCTGGTTTCAGAAAAGTGTGCAGCTCTGCCCTAAAAAAAAGTGCAATGGTGTAGTTGGAGGGCACGGGAGGGGGGGGCTGCCTACCTAGCACGGAAGCATCAGGTGGCACCAGCTCTCCAGCGCCCTCTCGTATGACATGCTTCAGCACGCCCCGGTCCCCGGAAATGTCCAGCATCCTCTGACCCAGCAGCTGGTACGGGGACTGGTGAAGAGGAGAGGTAGACCTCAGAGTCTCGGACCCACTCAGCTCCCAGCTGCAGGACACCTCGAGGGGATGTGCAGGGCCCCTGACTCCGCTGGGCCCTCACTTGGGTGGGGCGTCATTCCCTTAAAGGACTCCCCGACTCAGGGTGCTTCTCCCACGTCTGCCCTCCTGCCCTACGGCATGCGGCCCATCACCCTCCCCTGGCTGCGACTCGGGGAGGTCCCTAAGTCCCGACCCATGGCCCCTTCGTACCCTGCAGTCTCCTCCAGACGGTGGCATTCCGTTCAGTGTTCGCGAGGAGGCCCTCATGGCTTAGCTCCAACGGCCACCAACTGCCCTTGTGTGCCGGGAGGGGGGGGTGTCCACAGACCCAGGTGACCTGGTAGGGCACGTGACAGAGCTACCTACCGTCGAGAACAAAGGGACACCTACTGGACGCACGTGGCTGGATTAAGTACCCAGGGCGTGCACGTGATGGGAATTCGCAGAGCACGCCCGCCACGGCCACGCGCTGGCGGTCTGGGAGCGCGTGCGCACTGGGCTGGGGGCGGTAGGTGCTTCCGGCGTTGGGAGCGGGATCGAGCGCGAGCCTGGAGGCCTGCGGTAGTTCTGCACCGCAGGGCAGGATGGCGAGGGCGCCAGGGCGGGACGGGGAGGATCCCAGAACCACCTGCCACTGGCAGGGCAGGGGGCTCACCCGCGGGGGGGGGGGGGGGGGCCCCCCACACCCCCCTGCCACTGGCAGGACAGGGCTCTCACCGGCGGGTGACTTTCACCTTCTTCCGTCTTTCCTCCTCCATGCATTCTGGAGAGATTTAGGGTCGGCCAGGACTTGAGTGTCAAACTGCCCGGTTCCTGAGAAACGAAAGTGACACGTCTCTTCCCTTCCCCAAATTCACAAAACAGCCACACCTGCTCCCACCTGCACTCTGTTCCCTGGGTTCCTCCCTCTTGTCTGCTCCAAGACTTGACGCTGCAGCTGCCTCCTCCCTTCTCCCATGTTGCCGTGGCAGCGAGGCCATTTCCTTCAGTTCTGCATGGCTCTAAAATCTCCTGCCGTACAACATCTGTACCCCGCAGGTGCCCCAGTGGCTGCTTTTCCCAGAAAACCTTTTACAAAGCCTGGCTGCAAAGGCTCCTCCTTCCCCCTCTGTGGCTCTCTTGGACTGCTTCAATGCCCCTCCACCCTGCACTGAGGGCCCTGCACTAAGACCCGACAGCTCTCACAGCCAGGTTCATCGGATGCCCCTGGTCCTCAGGTGAGCGGACTGTCAGCCGTTGACGAGGTTGACTTCTCTGACTTTAAATGCTTTTTTCTCTTGACTTCTATACTTTTTCTTTTTAAATAGTTTTGTTAGAGAGTATGTGTGCTTGCTAGAGAGCCAGAAAGACAAGGAACGTGAGAAAGCACCCCCAGGGGAAATGATCATGCCACTTTCCCTCTCCTCCATTCTCCCCTTGGGATTTAGGGCATGCACACACGTGCCCAGCATGATTTTTAAGGTGCAGGGTCTGAAACTCAAACTGTGCCTCAACCACTGCCACTCACTGGTCCCTATATTAGCTTTCTATCACTGTTATAACTAATTACTGCAAAGCTATAGCTGCTTAAAGCAAACCCCTCTTATTATCTCATGGTTGTGCAGGTGAGAAGCCTGGTACCATTTTCTCTGGGCTAAGATCAAGGTGGCAGCAGGGCTGCATACTCACTGGACACTCTGGGAAGAACCCACTTCCAGGTTCAGGCAAGTCCGTGGCTGAAGCCAGATCCTGCTGAGGTCTTGTCTCCTTGCTGGCTGTCAGCCAGGGGCCAACCTTAGCCACTAGAGGCCTCCCTCCCATCCTTGCACGTGGGCCCTACATCTCCCAGACAGCACGGGTGCCTGGAACCTTCTCATGCTCAGAATCCTCTTGCCTCCTCTTGTGCTGCATCTTTCTGGCTCTAGCCAAAGAAGTTCTGTTTTTAATTAATTAATTAATTATTTATTTATTTTTAAGCCAGAGAAGTTCTGCGTTGTTAAGGGCTCCTGTGATTAGATTGGGCCAGCTTACAGAATTCAGGTGTGTGACCTTAATTACATCTGCCATGTAAGGTAACATATCCATGATCCCAGGAATTAGGGCAAAGGTATCTTTTTTTGGGGGAAGCCTCTGCCTACCCCAGTTTCCTGGGTACCACACTGTCCTGGTTTTCCTACCTCCCTTGCTAAACAACTTCTCTTCTAAACATTAACAATCCTAGGGCTTTGTTCTTTGACCTCTGTTATTCTGTGTTCAGTCCCCAAGGGATCCCAACATTCCCACAGATTTCCATGTGCAATGTCCCTGAACAGGTGATACATATCCAGCTGACTTAGGGCCTCCCCTGAGCTCCGGAACTCCAGGATCCTGTGTCCAGGGTTTGTTTCACTGGTTCTCAAAGCAGTTTCTGCGGTGGCAGCAGCAGCAGCAGCAGCAGCAGCAGCGTGACCTGGGAACTTGGGACAAGTGCATGTTCTTGGGCTCATCCTGTACTCCTGACATGGAGACGGCGGGTCGGACCCAGAGGTTTTTCTTCTGACAAGGTCTTCCCGTGCTTCTGTTGTTTGCTGAAGTCCACAGGCGCTGAGCTGCTCAGCTGCTCCGGCTGGACAGCCTCGGGCTTCTGACTCTGGGTTCCCCTATGCTCTTCACCTGCATCTTGGTATTATTGGGCTGTCAGGGAAGTCATGCATTTTTGCATAGAAAAATACATCATGACTTTCCCAACGACGTAATAGTTGTTGACCATACCAGCCAGCCAGCCAGGTACTCCAGCCACCGTGATCCGGCATAGCAGTCAGAGTGGTCTTTTAAAAACATTTATAGGGCCAGCCAGTGGTGTGATTGAGGTGGCTGGATCCCACAGGGCCGACTATACTGTCTGAGTCCCAGACTCGGCAGCTTGAAAAAACCCTGGGTGCATGTGCATGCCCAGGATCCCAAGAGGAGAATGGAGAAGGGATTGTGGTGCGATCGTTCCCCATGGGGGATGCTTTCTCGCCTGTGTTTCTCTCCAGTGAGTGCACATACCCTATAGCAAAATTTTAAATGTATGTATATGTATGTGTATATATACACCTAACAGTATTACCTTGCCTGGAAAACATCTGATAGCTCCCATTGCCTTTGCAGTTAAATACAAACATTTCTCTGCCCTTCAGAGTCTTCCTTGCCAACCCCTCCGGCCTCGCCTCTGAGATTCCCTCTCACTTGTTATGTTCCTGCTATCCAGGTCTCATCTTTTCTGAGTCTCACAAACACCAAGCTCTTTCCAACCTCAGGACCTTTGCACTTGCTGAGTATTGTCTAGACTGCTGTCCTCCAGCCTTGCAGGTAATTGGCTTCTTTGTATCCTTCAGGTATCAGCTCAACTCAAAGCCATTGCTTTGCCTCTATATTGCGGTACCTCACACAGCCTGTCATGCCATCCCCTTCTTTCTCATCCCCTGCATAGCACTTACCATGTAGTATCGTGTATTTATAACCTAATCCCACCTTGCCTCTACTGTAGTATAAACTTGAAAGGACAAGGATTTTGTCTTGTTTTCTGCTGTACCACCCCCCCCCCCATACTCTGCTCAGTGCTTGATAGCAGGATCTCAGTAAATACTTGTTAAAAAAAAAAAGTCATGGGGGGACCAGCAGTTAGTGTAATGGCTATGTCGCTGGACTCCCACGTAGTTGACCGCGGTTTGGGTCCCGGACCCGGTGACTTAAAACTCACACCGGGCACATGTGCGTGTGTGCCCAAGATCCTGAGAGGAGAACGGAGAAGAAGGGATTGTGGCATGGCCATCTCCCCTGGAGGGTGATTTCTTGCTTTCTATCTCTCTGTCTCTCTCTGTCTGTCTGGTGAGCACACACGCCCTATAGCAAAAACCTCTCCAAAAAAAAAAAAAGTCATGGGAACCAGCAGATAGCGTAAAGGTTACATCACTGGACTTCCACATGGTTGACTGCGGTTCGAATCCCAGACCTGGAGGATTAAAACTCACGCTGGGCACACGTATGTGCATACCCGAAATCCCGAGAGGAGAATGGTGAAGAAGGGACTGTGGCACAGCCATCCCCCCTGGGGGGTGATTTCTTACTTTCTGTCTGTCTGGCGACCACATGCATCCTATACCAAAAATCTCTCAAAAAATGTCACAGGGCCAGCAGGTATGGTGGCTAAAGTGCTGGACTCTCACATGGCTGACCACGACCTGACAGTTTGCTTTCTCACTTTCTCTCTCTCTGTTTCTCTCTCTCTCTCTCTGGTGAGTGTATGTGCCCTATGGCAAATTTATATATATCTATGTATACATACACACACACACACATATGTGTAACTGTAATAATAAACAATTCTTAAAAAGAGAAAGTCAGGTCATATGCTATAGTCAGTAGGACTCCACAGTGGGACTATGGAGCTGGCAGCCACATGCTGACTACAGTTCAAGCCCCCAGCCTGGTTAACCTGCAGAAGACACGAAGAGCGTGCATGCACGGGATCCTGCTCAACCGAAGGACTAGCCGAAGGGGATTGTGGCGTGACCAAGCCCTGTGCAGGGCGCTTCACCCTGTCTCGCACACACTCTATTATAATAATAAGTATTATTTAGTTTCTTGCCATAGGGTTCGTGCACTTGACAGAGAGACAGAATAAGGGAAAGTGAGAAATCACCCCCCACAAGAAGGGGAGAATGGCCACACCACAACCCTTCTCCATTCTCCTCTTGGGGTTTTAGGCACACAAGCACACATGCCCAGTGTGATTTTCAAGCTTCAGGGTCTGGGACTTGAACCGTAGTTGGCCATGTGGAATCCAGCTGCTTTAACCACCACACCATCTGCTGGCCCCCATTCTATTTCTTGAGATGAAGAAATGCATAAAATATACTCTAAACTGTATGGTTAAGATTTTGTGTACCTTATATAAATTATATCTCATTTTTAAAAATCTAGATCAGTAGTGATACCTTCAAGAAACTTTTTTTCCTTTTTGTCTTTTAAGGCACTATGTTGCGTGAGCTGGCCTTGAATCGCAGTCCTCCTGCCTTAGCCTCCTGAGTAGCGGGGACTACCGGCATATGCCGCCACACTCAACTGCCTTCAAAATTCTGAAAATGAGAGAGATTCAGGAAGAGCCAAGGCTCAGCATGTTTCTGCTCCCGTTTTGGGGCGGTAAGGACTCCGCCCCTACTCCCAAGGCCAAGGCCAGCACCTGAATGTCGCTGTTATCAGAGCAAACCCAGCAGAGGCTGCCTCCCGAGTGGAGTCCCGTGATGTAATCCTGCTTCCACCTGATTCTGGGTGACCTTGGTGATACCAGGGTGTTGCTGGGAAAAGGGAGGAGTAAGGGGGCAGAGCCCAGGCAGTGCCGCAAGCGCCTAGCTGTGCTTCCAGGTCTCCACGCCTGCTGTCCCATCTTGGGAAGGAGAAGAGGCTGAGCTGTCTGGCCTG